CTGTGCTGACAGCTCAGAGCCTGGAGCCTGCTTTGGATTCTGTTGTCTCTCTCTCTCTCTGCCCCTCCCCTGCTCACAGTCTGTCTCTGTCTCAAAAATAAGTAAACATTAAAAATTAAAAAAAAAAAAATCTTTTTTTTTTGTTTCTTCTGCTGCCACCAGTGCTTGTATGAATTATGGAGAAAATAATGCTTTCCACAGAAGCACAGAGATATTCACAAACATTAAAGCATTTACTGGAAAAGTACCAAGTATTACACTCAGAGGCAAGGCTATCTTCAGAAAGCTACATGTGATAAAATATTTTTTAGCGTCTGTTTCCATGAGAAGTTTACAAAAATCTATTTGACAGCTGTGCCCTTAGGCTAGTGAATTTAATAGATACACTTTTTAAGTAATCATTCTCATTAAGCGGAAGGAAATGTTGGGAGCCCTCCGATACCACACATTGTTATATATTTAATTAAGTAATTTGCATACTTAAGCATGTGACTTAAAAGTTGTTACCTGATTTCAGACTATATTACAAAGCTATAGTAATTAAAACAACAAGATATTGGCATAAAACCTGTGTGTGTGTGTGTGTGTGTGTGTGTGTGTGTGTGTGTGTGTGTGTAATTTATGACAAGGCAAGAATATACAATGGGGCAAGGACAGTGTCTTCAATAAATGGTGCTGGGAAAACTGGTTAGCCACATGCACAAGAATGAAACTGGACCACTTTCTTAAATCATACACAAAAATGAACTCAAAATGGATTAAGGACTTGAACATAAGGCCTGAAACCATAAGACTCCTAGAAGAAAATGTAAGCTCCTTTAACATAGATCTTGGCAGTGGTTTTTTGAATCTGACCCCAAAAGCAAAAGCAATAAAGGCAAATGTAAACAAGCGGGATTACATCAAACTAAAAAGATTCTGCAAGCAGAGGACATAGGCAACCTACTGAATAGGAGAAATTATTTGCAAATCATATCTGTTAAGGGGATAGTATCAAAATACATAAATAATTCATAAAGCTCAACAGCAAACAATCCATTTGATTTAAAAATGGGTGAAAGATCTGAATAGACATTTTTCCAAAGAAGACATACATGACCAACAGGTACATGAAAAGGTGTTCAGCATCACTAATAGTAATCTTCATGGAAATGAAAGAACCACAATGAGATATCACCTTACACCTGTCAGAGTGGCTGTCATCAAAAAGATAAGAAATAACAAGTGTTGGCAAGGATGTGGAAAAAAGGGAGCCCTTGTGCACTGTTGCTGGGAACGTAAATTGGTGCAGCTCCTGTAGAAAACTGTATGGAGATGTCTCAAAAAATTAAAAATAGAACTCCCATGTCATCCAGCAATCCCACTTCTGGGTACTTACGTTAAGGAAGTAAAAACACCAACTTGAAAAGATATCTACATCCCTGTGTTCGGTGCAGCATTGTTTATTATAGTAAAGATAGGAAACACTCTAAGCATCCATTGACAGGTGAATGGATAAAGAAATTAGGATATACATACACACAATGGAGTATCATTCAGCCATCAAAAAGTATGAAATCTTGCCATTTGTGACAGCATGTATGGACCTTCAGGGAAGTATGCTAAGTGAAATAAATATGAGAAAGACAAATACTGCATGATCTCTCTCTCTCTCTTTTTAATATTTATTTTTGAGAGAGAGACAGAGAGTGTGTGTGTGTGAGCAGGGGAGGGGCAGAGAGAGAGGGAGAGACAGAATCTGAAGCAGGCTCCAGGCTCTGAGCTGCCCACAGAGAGCCCAATGTGGGGCTTGAATTCACGAACTGCAAGATCATGACCTCAGCCAAAGTCAGATGCATAAGTGACTGAGCCACCCAGGCATCCTTGTATGTATGATCTCTTTCATGTGGAGTCTAAAAAACATATATATATTCATAGGTATGGTGAACAGCTGGATGGTTGGTAGGGGTGGGGGATTACTGAATGAAAGGGATCCAGAGCATAAAAGAAAAAGAGCATGAATCACACATAAAAATTGTTGAAATTGACCAAATAGGGCCATATATGTCTTTATTTATTTATATGGCATCTTCCCCATTTCTGTAGCAGCCTTCTCAATATTCTAGATATAACATCACTGGGGAAATATTGAGAGTAGGAAATTAGTACCAACTTTGGTGTTTTTCTTTCAATTGTGATATATTTGATTGTCTCTAAAAATGTCATGCCACCATCACTTGGTCATTTATATTATTCTAATTATTTTAATAAATATATTCAAGAAATCTTTTTTCTAATATTTGTCATCATTACTGAATTGCATACCAGTAGGTTAGAGTTCCTACCCAGTGCATTAAGGCAAGAAAAAGAAATAGAAGGCAGTAATCCATATTGGAAAGAAGAAGTGAAATTATGTTTATTCACAGATGATACAGTAATGGATGTAGAAAATTTGAGGAAATCTACAGAGAAGCTATTAGAATGGATAAATTTAGCAAGGTGGCAGTATACAAAATCACTACATAAAAATCAATTTATTTCTCCATATTAGCAGCAATCAGAAGCTGAAGTTCCTAAGGCAGTACCATTTACAAGAGTGTCAAAATATTAAATACTTACGGATACTTGGGGATAAACCTCAAAATACAAGTCCAAAACATATATACTGAAAATTATAAAAACACTTTTGAGAGAAAATAATGGAGACATAAGTAAATGGAGAGATATGCCATAAATATTTATGGTCAGAAACTCACTTTTACCAATACCTCCATTCTCCAAAATGATCTGTATATTTAATGCAATTCAGTTCCAAATCTCAGCAGACTGTTTTGTAGAAATTGATAAGCTGATTCTCAAATTCATATGGAAATGTAAAGAACCTGGAATAATAAGAACAGTTTTGAAAAAGAACAATACTGGAGAGTATTCCGTGATCTCAAGATTTACTGAACACCTCTAGTAGTAAAGGTAGTATCCAGTTGGTGTTAAAATAGATCTATAGATTGGAGCAGAATACAGTCTAGAAGTAGACTCACACATAAACGGACAACAGATTTTTGAAAAAAGTGGGAAATTAGTTAATTGGAGAAAGGATAGTCTTCTTGCTGGAACAATTAAATACTCATAGGTTAAAAACATAACAAAGGAACCTCAATCCTTACCTTGCAGCATACATAAAAACTAACTCAAAGTGAATGGTAGATCTAAAAGTAAAACCTAAAGACCAAACATTTCTAGGAGAAAACATAGGTGAAGTATCTTTGTGGCCTGAGTTAGACAAAGATTTCTTATATGTGTCACCAAAACGTGATCTAGGTCTAGGAGAAAATATTTGCAAATGGCTTTTATCTGGAATGTATAAAGAACTCTCAAAACTCAGTAATTAAAAAACCCAGACAATTCACTGAAAATGTGCAAAACATTTGAACAGACACTTCACGAAAGGAGATTGAGGGGTGGCATAAATGTACATGAAAAGAAGCTCAACATCATTAGTCATTGGGAAAATATGAATTAAGACTACAGTGACATACTTCTTAAAATTTTAAAATACCAGTAATACTGTGGGTAAGGATGTGGAGAAATTGGAACTGGTCAGAATGTAAAATGGTACAAGCAACTTGGAAAGTGATTTTGTAGTTTCTTAGCATGTTAAATGTATTCTTAGAATGAGATCCAGCTATTGTACCCCTAAGTATTTCCCCAGGAGAAATGAAGGCATGTGTCTGTATAGAGCCATACATATAAATGTATGGCTTTTATTTTAGCCATCATAATGGCTTTATTTATAATAGCTAACAGTTACAAAAATCCCAAATGTGCTTCAGTAAGCAGAAACCTATTGTAGCTGTATAATGCAATATTATTTAGGAGTTAAACAGGAATGAAGTATTGATGTACACAATAACATGGATGAATCTTACAAAAATTCTGAAGATAAGAATCCAGGTTAAAAAAAAATGAATGTCCAATTACCTTTACATAAAATTCTAGAAAAAGCAAACTAATCTAGAACGACATCACATTGTGTAGGGGGTGGCAAGGAAAGTCAGGAAAGAGGAATGGCAGAGAAAGCTTTTGGGGGTGATGGACATATTCACTATCTAATTATGGCAGTGTGTGTGTGCGCACATGTGCGTGTCAGAGAAAGAAAACAAGTTGCATACTGTAAATATGTGTAGCTTGTTGGATACCTACTTAAAACTCCGTAAAGTAAAACAAAAGCAAAAAGAAAGAACAGAATGCAGGCTGTGCTGTTACAAAGCCTAAGTAAAAGGCGGGTAGTAAGTAACAGGGCCCAACTGTTAAGGTTGTTGTGAGGAGTATTAACACATGTTCAGAGATGAGACCAGTGCCTGATTCATCCGATGTGTGTTCTCCATCCGATGTGACTGCATCTTGTCTCTACTGGATCATCAGCTCTTGGTGAGCAAGGTACCATGTCTCTGCCATCATTTTGCCTAGTTTGAAACTTGGAATGAGTGTTTATTTGTATAATCTTCAATTTATTTCATGAAAAGTGCAAACAATGTTTTGATGAATTTAAAATCCCTGCATAAGTAACAATTCACATCCTTCAGACATGGGCAATATGGATAAAGACTGAGAGAAAAACCCGGAGGAATATGGCAGACAGACACTGCTGTGGACTCATTTGTGAATTATGTTATTTATATGTTGAGAATCAGAGGGTAAATATTTAAAATGTTACCTTGTCTTAGAGATCTATCTTTATTTTTATTTGTACTCGTATACACAAATGTGTGTAGATCATGCACATTTCCTGAAAATTGTTTCCTTTGAGCACTCAAGTGTAGCTGTCACCCTTTTTTCTTTGACTTTTTTTTTTTTTTTTTTAGAATGCAGTTAAGTCCTTGGGAAAATCGCTTATGTCATCAGTAAGGAATGTCACCAAAATAGCTTCTCACTTAAGTTCCCATCCCCAGAGCTAACCCACGGGAGGGTCTGATAAATTCAAATATTTAATAACTTGTCTTTTTCTTTCTCCTTAAACACAGGCCCTCTGGTCCTGGAGGCAGGATCACGTGGTGGATTGTTGGCAGTCAGCAGTCTGTGGAGCTTTTGCAGGTGCAAGGGATTATATTATACTGGGAAAGACCAAAGTGGGGAGAAAAATGTGAAAATATTAACTATGCAAAAACAACATTCTTTAGAAATTCCAGATTGTTTAGATGAAGAGAGTTCCACTAGTTGTTTGAGAAAAGAGAGTGACTTCGGGGGCGGGGTGGAAACAAACCCTGCTAAAAAGGTGTCTGCTTGAAAGACAACCAATTTGTTTTTGACAAATTTTTCTTTCTCTTTTTATCTTTATTAAAGCCTTCACTCAGGCCCTTGGATTATCTCAAAGATGATTTATAAAGTCCTCTCTGGGAAGAGACTTGTGTGCAGCTGTCTGCCTTGAGCAGTGCTTTGGGGGTTTCAGTGATTCCTGCAGAAGGCAATGATTCACGGTTCGTGTGACATGTTTGACAGCACCACAGATTAACTAGTGTCAGGAGGGCCGAGGCTGCTCAGCAAACTTACCGAAGGCTCAACTGCTCTGTGGAGAAAATACGGAGATCTAAACATCTGGCCATTTTCCAGGCATTAAACCAAGAGCAAAGTGACAGTGTGCAATAATAGTGTGTTATCCATCACTAAGTCATGTGAATTTTCCAGTGAGGCTGTAATGAGGACTCGGGTGCTTTACAGAATTGAAGAAGTGATAGGCTTAGCAGTCTAAGAGAGAAGTGCATCTTGCTGTTGCACATAAAGGTGAATTAGAATTACGGTTGAAATAAAGCAAAGTGGAGATGCGCCAGAAAACGTAAACTGCTAGTTTTGATGTGTAGCCAGTAAAGAGATAAGTAGTTTTAGGATGTCAGCTTTATTAGGAAATGATTCTTTTGCCATTTGTGTAATGGTTGTTGGATTGGGTTTTGGTTGTGGTGATTAGGAAAACAGAAAGCATGTATTTCATAGGATTCTTTATTAATAATTGGACCCATTTGACGTGTAGAATTGATAATCAAAAATAAGAATCTTACCTCTAGACATGAAACTGCCTCAAATGGATTATGATGGGTAATTGTTTCCACATGACCCTTCGTCATTAGCTGTGTTAAATGACTAGGTGGTCTTGATTCACTTTCCAGAGGTCAAGAGTCTTTACTCCCCAGTCCTTAAGTGAAATGTGTGGGGTTTTTTTGACTCCCTCCAGGGGACAAAGTAAGCATTATGGAACTTTGGTCATCCTGGATAAGGAAGGGCACTTCTTAAATTTAGCGCTTCCATAAAACCTCCACGTGTTGAAGTAAGAAGGGTATATTCTCCGGTCCCATTTCCGAAGTAGCTCATTCAAAGATTTGCTTACAAATGCACTGTTTCTAGTAAGGAAATTTACATTCACTACAATGCCTTTTTCCAATTAATGCTTTGTAATGAGTGCTAAGCAGTTAGATTAGTCAGAAGCGGGGAGGGAAGAACTAGTTATCAGCCATCTGCTGTGCGGTAGGATCCTTTCGGCCGGGCCCTTTCAGTCTGGGGGCTCCCCGGCGGAGTGTGGCCCAGCAGTCCTGTGCTCCGGTGACTGATGGACGCTTCATTGTGAAGCAGGGAAAGGACTTGGCCGGAGCAACATACCTGGTGTGGGCCAGCTTGCTGGACTTAAGAGAATTGTCAGGTCTCAGCTCTGCCCCCAGTTCCCTTCCTGTTACAGACGCGCCCCTCCCGGCCTTAGCGGGGGGATTACGGCAGGGCTAGGTGAGATCACGTGGGTGTTAGTACTTGTGATCTATGACACCGAGCTGATTGATGAGAGGTATTATTTCTACTGCAGTAGAAACACCATATACCCAGAAAATGAAAAGCTGTCATCACATCGATTCCTATTCACCACTGCATAGAGAGAATAATATGTTGATAGAGTTTCTATACATAATTATCTCTAATAGCATGTGGATTTAAAAACTCCTCCAATTCAGTTGCCTTATTTCTTGTGCTGAGGTTCTGTAAGTGAAGGAGTTTGTCAGGTTCTGCAAAAATCCACCGAGGGTAGATCCACGTGCGTTTCTCTCCAGAAGGTAAAATGAGTGTATTTTTGTTTATATCTCTTTTGTTTTGAAATTTCAGTTGGTGTGCTGTGACAGATACAGTTACTATTTTAAAAACTTTGTGAAAGATAAACATCATTTAAAAAGTACCGTAACTTGCGAAGAAGCGATCCCCTGTAGGAGTCTGTAGTGACATGGTGCATTGCACACCACAGAGGAATGAATAACGCCTGGTTGCCCGGGGCCGCCCCTTGCAGGCCTGCGCGCTCAGACTCCCCAGCCTCACGCGGCCACAAAAGCAGTGATGTGAGACTTGCCCGTAAGTCAGAAATTAGATTACTCCTCCTTGGGCACGTTTCTGGTTTTAAACTGGTTAAATCATCACGGATGAACCACTCTGGCCCATGTTTGGCGCTCTTCTGTGCCCGTGCTTGTTGTATAAACTACTTGGCACAAATATCCAAAAATGTCCCTTGAGATTGGAGGTGTTGATGGCTTGTCATGCCAGAAATTCCCTTGGCTTGTGGTCAGGGGTTAAACGAGGGGAAAAAAAGGACTTTGCCAACTTCCTGCCTTCAAGTTAACTTCTAAACATACAGCCATAATTCAGTCTAAGTAATTATGACATTTGCTACTCTAGTGATACGTGCTTTGATAATCTAGTGTTCTTTGGTCAGTTTCTCATAATTAACATCTACTTACATTTTCTAAGAGAGAAGGAGTGAGACTGACAGGGTCGGAGGGAAGGAAAGAGAGAGCTTCCCATGGCTTGAAATCCCAGAATAGGGTGAAGGATTTGTCTGGGTAAGACATGGGAAGGCATGACGCCAGCTTTAAACAGAAACACCCTTCTGTTGTTGTCGAAGCCCTCCGTGTCTGGCCACTTGTTTGGAGAGCATATGCAAAGGAGGTGCGTGGACGTGCTGTTCTTGCTGTGAGCCTCATCAGGAGATGGGAGGCCGGCCGGGAAGGGACAGCGCATGGCGGCCCTGCGCAGTCCTGTCCCCACCACCGCTTTCACAGCTTGTTGTGAGGAAGGTGGCCCCTTTGTCCAGAGTGCTAAAGAATCTGCAGTTGTTCAAGGACACGCGACATGTCATTTCACTGTAAACGTCCCGTTTCCCCCGAACCTGGTGCCTGAAAGCAGTTAGCCCGACATCCTGTAAAAGTCTAACTCTAGTGGAGCCCGTAGAAAATGGTTTCATGCGTGATGTGCTGCACCAAGTAATTATTTCCTGTCTAATATGTTAGCATGTTCCTTGTATTTATTACCAGCAGTTTACAGTTCCCTTAAGTAAAATGTAGAAAATAACTACATTTTAACTAAAAGCATAGGTCCCCAGTGCCCTCCCTGTTGTGACCCGTCATTCCATTACGCGATCTTCACAGGGCCTTCTTTGCAGCCTCATTAGAAATATTGTGAGGGCTGTGTATCACAGCAGTCGTTGACATTTGAAGACATTAAAATTGGTTTAATAATTTGCATAAAATACAGGTACCATCGTGGCTGTAAAATTAGGAGCCATTTAAGCATATTGTTGGTTTTTGTCTTTGACTTCTCTTCGTATTACCTGTATCAAGCAGCAGTCTCTGAGAATATGTCACCAAGCACCCAAAGTCGAGGGGCAGGGACCTTCTCACAGCCAAGACGAGCTTGACGCACAGTACCTGCATTTACTAGAAGGCAAGGAGTTTTCAGTGTAAGTGACTCAGGAGAGCTTGAGTCGTCAGACAGGGGGCGAGCGAGGTCCTTCCCAACTTTTAGGTCTTTGAAGTTGGTTTAGGAAACTTTGTGAACATTTTCAAATAGGATAATGGTGTATGCACTTCAGAGTTTTAACACTCGGATGCGATTTAGTGTCTTACCACACATGAGACTGATTACGTAGTGAAAGAGCCCTACTTGTGGAGCTGAGATGCACGTGCCTTTGAGTCCCAGCTCCATGCTACTGTGTGGCCCTGAGCAAGCTGTCTGTAAAATGGGATAGTAAGACCCACGCAAATGAAACAGAATTAGTGGCCATACCTAGTACAGGCGCAGCATGCCAGGTACAGAGTAAGCAGAAATATTGGCTCCGAGCTTCCCCTCCCTCCTCTCTTTCAGAGGACGGGTTGGAATCTTGGGTTTATAAGACCCTTGTCCAGGGTACCCAGCAAGCGTTTGTGAGTGTCTGCTGTGTGTGTGGGGGCTAGAGACATGAAGGAAAATCGCAGATTATCTCTTCCCATGCAGAAAAGACCCAGTTCCTAGCCAGTTCCTTTGAGCTCTGGTGTGCACCAGGCACTGTCCTAGACACTTTGCACAGACCCACGTAGTCCTAGATCCTGCTGCTGTCTGTGTCTTAGAGACGAGCAAACCGAGGCCACCATGCACCCAGTGGCTGTGAGCCCACATTCTGGAGTCAGTAAAGTTCAGGTCTTAGCTCTTCACTAAGTAAAACCTTCTGTGAGTTCTAGAAGCTCTCTGAGCTTCAGTTTCCCCACCCATAGTGGGAGGTTGCAGTGACAGAAGTACCTGTCTCCGGTGCTTGACCTAGAGAGTAAGTGTGGTCCCTAAGGCCAGTCCGCTAGTAGAGTAGGGATTTAGTTTAAGGGTTGGTCTTTCTGACCCTGAAAGAGTCTTTCAGACTGGGCCCTGCTAACTCTTGCAGCCAGAGAGGGAAACGAAGTCGATTTGGGGTGGGGGGTTTGGACAGTACAGGTCACCTGAAGTTGAATAAAGTACTACCTAAATTTCAGGCAGCTTTTCAATCTGGAAAAAAGTGTTTCACCTGTTTGTAACACAGAAGTGGCTACAGCAAAAGGGGACTCTAATATTCGTGTAATTGGTAATATTCAGTCCTCAGATACGTGTCCTTTGTGGATAATCAAATACGGAACACAAAAGCACAAATGGATACATCTTTCAAAATGTCATTGTCCTAATACATGCTACCGAAGGGAGGAGGTTCCGTGAGGATCCTATTTCAGCAACATGTTTAGAAAGATATTTGGCAGAGATCAAATGACCTTCACAATTGTCCCCATGCCACAAAATTCAGAGGGGGAGGTGCTATTTCTGGAGCATCCTTCATGCATGTGCTCTGTTCACCTAGCTCACATAAGCTGAATCTTTAGAAAACCCTTTTGTGTTTATTAATTCTGTCTCCTTAGGGCCTCTTCAGCTTTAAAATACATCTTTGTATTTCTCTTAATAAAATATCGACATCATCTACTGTGGTTTCTGTTGAAAAAAAAAATTCTCCAATTCCTCTGTCCACAGATATGGATATTAAAATAATCAGTTTGGCAGTCATGGTATTCCGTGGAAGAGAAGGTGGGAAGGAAGCTGTAGGAGGATTGCCTGTTGAATCAGCACCTACTGACAGGATGCAGAAAGGGCTAGAAATGTCATTGCTCTGCTTGGCCCGTTATCTGAAGCCTGGAGATACAGAAAGCTTTACTCTTATAACTCAGAAGAATTTAGCCATTAATACCGAGAGTCCCTACAGCAATCTGCATACCTCTGTTTGCCCATTTTGTCCGAGACCAGAAAAGATAGAGGCGTTTCGGAGTCCCATTAAACAAGAGTGTTCCGTAGAAGGTGGGGGCCCCGTGAGAAGCGCAGCGAGCGGCGAGCCTCTCATACTGACGGCGGGTGTGTGAACACAGGCACACAACCTTATGCACACGTAGGTCTGCTGCTGCACCCACGAGCAAGGTGAATTACGGGGCCTTGTTTTTGTTTTTATCCCTGAGCGCGTAGAGCGTTCTCCTGTCACCTCTCTTATGTGTGGTTCAGCATCACTGCAAAAGCAGTGGAGCGTGTGCAGTTTGCACGCGTGCATCCTCTTCTGGAATCAGTCAGGTGGACACAATGACAAAGAAGTGATTTGGGCAGAGCTTCGAGGGATTAGAAAGTACAAGTTCTGCCATCCACGTGACATAGTTAACAATACCTCCTTTGCGTGCCGGGTATTTTTATACGCACAGGTGGATTTGCAGCTGTGGTCACCACGCCTCTGGATGTGGCAAAAACAAGGATCATGTTGGCAAAGGTGAGTGTAAAATGTAACATAGACACAGCAGATGTTTGTGTGTATTAGCACCAGGGCTCACGTGTATGTAAGTGGCCAAGAGCGGGGTAACCCTGATCTAGAACAGCAGCCTTATGCTGCCCTGCCGAGGCACGAATGACTGACGTTGACTGTACAGTGTCCACAGTCGTCACTATGACCGGTGTCGCCACAGCTTTTGACCTTTAGGAAAACATTCTCACTGATGTTCTGTGAGAAGCATCAGAGCTGGGCCTCTGCCTGGTAATACTGCTTTCCAGTGACCTCTGTTTTTACGGGCGACAGACCTGAGGCTCCCAGAGTTGACTGGCTTCACGCCAATGCCGCAGGTAAGCTAGAGGCTCTGAACTCAGATGATGCTTGGCCTTAACCGTCTGGATCAGGACAGTTGTCAGAATTGTTTGAAAAGTTTTCATTGAAAAGAAACATTGTTAGAAAGCAGTCTGGACCGAGGTTCATGGAATGCCATGCACATAACCTATCTGGGGCCAAACAATAGAAAAGAAAGAGGCAAACATACCCTTAGGGAAAAGTGCAGCCATAAGGGCGGAAATCTAGTATGGAGGTTGACAAGGCCAAACCTGAGTATCGGTCCTGTTTTAAATTGAACTTGCTAGTACTCTTCGTTAAATGTGGTCATTAGCTGCTCCGATAAGTTCATAATTGGGCCACTTACACTGATACTCCCCTCTCTTCTCAGATAAGTTACTGTTGCTTTCTGTCTTTTTCCTGTCAAACAGTTGTTGGTGAGTTATCTAGATGAGGCCTGGCTCCAACCTAGAAATGCAGCTTCCTGTCAGTCAGTGCCTACCTGTGGGCTTGAGTGGAGGGGCTTCTGGTCTGGTGAGGTCCTGGGGTCCTGATTGCAAAGAAGCTCCCCAGTCTACTTCAAACTGTCCTAGAAGACACTGGTTGGGGGCCAGGCATCTGAGGACGTCATTTGGGGGATTTCATACGATAATGGCCTGTTGTCCTGTCGTGCAGGTTGGTTCCAGCACCGCTAGTGGGAATGTACTCTCTGCCCTGCACGGGGTCTGGCGGACACAGGGGCTGGCGGGGTAAGTGCAAGATGGAATGTTCGACTGCCTTCCTGCCTCTCTTCCCAGCTCTTCCTCCTTTAGCCTGAGCAGGAACCACTCTGCATCCTTCTGCCCGTCCTGGTTGGGTCTCTGTTCACATTGCACAAAGCCCGTTTGATGGTGCCTGTGTGAGATGACAGTGTGCCCTTGAGTCGATGCGGCATCTAGCAAGTGATTGCCGGCCTTGGCTATCTTGATACTGGAGCGCCTCGGCAGGCTCGGCCCCCTCTCGGTTCTTCCGGGCTGCAGCTCTGAGCAGATGGGCTCAGGTGATGCAGGAATGCACGTGAGCCAGCGTAACATTTAGAAGAAAGCAGTTGGGGTTGGGGCTACTTTTAACTGCTGTCAGTCACAAATTACTTTCAATGCCCCAGTGTGTGGCTCCTCACTTGCAACCCTCTCTCTTTTCCCCTCAGTGCCTCACCCTGCAAGCATCACGTCCTAAGATGGCTTCCTTTGCAAAGCTTGCTTTCACCTTGCTTTTGCAGTCTGTAAACATGTCTAAACGTTGGGATCCGTACAGTCTGTGAAATTACCATGTTCTCTTTGGAATGACCTACGAGGGGTTTTCCTGAGAGAGCACAGCTTGCGGCCGCCTCTTGCAGGGCCAGGAGTGAGCCTGTTGACAGGGTGTGGCCGGTGGGGACAGCCCATCCGTGGCAGCGCCACCTCCTCATCGTAGTGCCATGTGGGTGACTCTATCTGATCGCCGTGTTGTGTGCATTCGACAGGCTTTTCTTTCGGCTAGTTGATAGTTGAGGAAAGTGGGGCACATAGGTCAGGCCCCAGGTAAGGTTTTTGCAGGAGAACGGCCCCTTTCTCTTCAAAATTTGCAACCGTTAGTTGCAAAAGTAGGTCCTGTTGGGTGGTTTTTTGTATGCGGTGGCCCTGAGGGACCGATGCTGGTTGCCTGACAGACTTCCGGGTTCTGAGAGGAGGACTGGGTTTACCAGAAAGGAACGCTTGAGGGCGACCAAGGGCATGGCAGAGCGGTGGCTTGTGCGCCACAGGCCGGCCGTTTACAGCTAACGTGGCGCGAGGAGGGGAGAACGCGATTGCTCGCGGCGCAGACACCCCGGTCCCGACACACATCTCACACGGACACCCAAGTGGCGTGGGAGGAGAAAGCTCTGGAGCAGCCTTTCAGTTAGCGGGTGAAAGATTCTCAGGGTTCCAGGTAGTTGTGGGCCACACAGAGATGGTGCTCGCAATGGCTCTGTTGAATCTAAAGTCACAGCGCTCGAGTTCACTGCCCCGCTTTGTTTCCCGTGTGGCTCACACTGGATTCTGTGGCAACCGCTGGTCACACCTCTGCTCTGTGGAGTTGGTATCGAGCTGCAGGTGTGTCCGCCTTTCTTGAGAAAGCGGTGACATGTGGGTGTGGTGTGGTCGGCAAAACCCTGGCCACCGGGAGCCTGAGAGGCAGGAGCTCCCTTGAGCAGATGACTGAAACGAATCCCTCCCTGTCCCAGTGCTGGTGTCTACTTGCTGTCATGTGACCCGGCAGCGCCAGAATTCCGGCAGAGGATGGGTGTCGCGAGCCTTCCTTTCCGGGGCCCTGGAAAGGTAATTTGGAATTTTGCTTACTTCTTAAGCCTTGGGCTCTCATTAGCATACACACTGTGGTCCTTGGCAGCCCGTTTCAAGCAGCCACGCTCGTCATTTAAGAAATGATAGTTTTATTAGCTTCCTAGTAAGACGATAGAAGGCAACGAATAATTAGACAAAAGATTTTAACTGAACGCAAACAAAGCAAATCCCTGCCCACGTGGGCAGCTGCCCTCCCAGCGGCCCTGGGCGTCCTCAGCCCCGACGGGGTCTCGGCCTGCCTCTTCTGTCCCGCTCCGACACAGCCCTGCGGGCCCTTCCTGCTGCCTCTGAACACACCTGCTGCATTCCTGAGTGTTCTGGATCCTGGCAGGTAGCTTCCCTGGCGGCCGTGAGGCCCTGCTGGCGTCTCAGGGTGAAGTGGGGGCGCTTTTTGATCTCTGTGTCGGTTCACACAGGGGAAGGCTGTGTTCTGGCACAGAGTTGGAATATAGGCTCTAGGGCAAACTGGTTTCTCCAAAATAAAAACACCACATGCTCATTCAGTCCAACAGCCGGAAAGTAGACGGGACGCCCGTTTGTGCCGCATCGTTCATTCCTACTCGTCCTGTTAATAAGCAGCCGGCTTTTCGTGTTTCCTGACTGTACCCTTTATGTCTTAACTGCTGCTGCCCCGTGTGCACCCCCTCCGAGCCCCGTGCTCTGCCCAGTACGTTTGTTACCTCGTTTGATCTGTGGTCCCCAGAACACAGCCGCGCTCCACTCAAGTCTCTGCCTCCTCATCTGGTTGGGGCGCTCACTGTACAAATTACTTTGCTTTAAGGCTATAATTATGTTAATGAATTCAATTGTCATCTGGTGAGACCATAAACTGCTTCCATCTGCCTCTTGCCAGAAGCAGGTGAGTTCATTAGCAGCAAAAGCTGCACCAAGACACAGGTTTCAGAAGTCAGATCGTGAGGGAGGATATCGTGGCCTAAGTGGTCTCCTATCTCAGCTTCTGCTGACTTCCCTCCCGGCACCCTTCTCTTTGTAGGCGGGGCGACAGGAGTAATCCCTGTTTGGGGCCACAAGGTCCCAGTGGCCTCCGTGTGGTAATGGAGGAGTTTTGTCTTCACCTACCACCTTCTGCAAGAACGATCTGCATCATGCTGAGGCAGACAACTTTTTTCCTTGTATAGTTTTCATGGTTGCTTCTAGAGAAGAGGTTCTCGTTTTCATCTGTGGGATTTTACTTCATGATTTAAATCCTTACTCAGCTAACAAAAGTAAGGGCCTCCTAATGCTCAGTCCCATTTTCCTCAGAAGTGCTAAGCACGCCATTCAGAGGGCAGGCCAACTGACCTCTCCCAGCAGGTGTGCAGAAACCGGGCGGTGGGGGCTTTGTCTCCTGTCCACCGTCTTGGCCAGTCACCATTGTCCACCATTGTGGACATTTTTTCCTGTTTAAAAGGTTATGTCCTTTTCACATAACCTGACCTGTATGTTCGGGCCCTGACCTGGGCCCGAGCCAAAGTCTTCTCACTAGAAGTCTGCTAGTTCTGATTTTTTCTGCTTACAAAAGTAAATGCTTTTGGTAAGAAGACTCAGTCATTCGAGAAAGATAGGGGGGGTTTCCTCTAATCCTGCCTCCGGGAGAGAGTTTAGGGCCCATCCCTGCCGCAGAATCAGATGACACACACGGCTTTGGGACTTTTGTCAGAACCTGTTGGATTTTCAGTCGTGGATCCCAGGGCCTACCTCATTTTTACCGGCTGCGTAGTGTCCCCCCGTGTGGACATGGCACCAGAATTTGTGTAACCAGCGGGGGTTTGCCGTTTCTCTGGTACCAGCAATGCCAGGATGAACACCTCTGAACGGTTACCGGGGCGCAGCTACAGGATGGCTCTTAAAGAGTGAAGCTCCACTTCACACCCCCAGTAACATTCTTTGACTTGGCCTTTCTTGGTTCCAAAGTCGTGCCACCGACGGGCCTCGTGTGCGTGGGGACAGAACCTGGGGGGACGTGCACTCTGCCTATCCCGTTCACCTTTCTTGTCCTTCCTCAGAGGAGAAGACAAATAGGGACTCCATGGAGATTGGCCTCCCTGTTCTGGTGTCACATCCGTGGGCCTCTAAGGACCAAATGCAACTGAGTCACTGGGAGGGGGGTGGGCAGAGTCGTGGGGAAGATCTCCAACACCCGAGCCCACCTTCCATCGCTGTGGCTGGCCGCGCCCACCCGAGGAGTCAGGCCTTTGACTCCTTTACAAAAGTCTGTCTCTCGGGGCGCCTGGGTGGCGCAGTCGGTTAAGCGTCCGACTTCAGCCAGGTCACGATCTCGCGGTCCGTGAGTTCGAGCCCCGCGTCGGGCTCTGGGCTGATGGCTCGGAGCCTGGAGCCTGTTTCCGATTCTGTGTCTCCCTCTCTCTCTGCCCCTCCCCCGTTCATGCTCTGTCTCTCTCTGTCCCAAAAATAAACGTTGAAAAAAAAAAAAAAACAAAAGTCTGTTTCTCCATCTCTCAAAGAGCCAGTCTGGAAGTTTTCCGCAGGACTGCTGTGGGGACAGAGTTCTTGTTTCTTGGCTAATTACTGGACCTAATTGCGAGGCTCCCAAATAAGCTGTTTGGTACTGAGCCACGTTAGCCAGCAAACAGCTGGGCCCAGACTTCAACAAGTCTACTTGGGAATGTAATTTAGTGCCATTCTGAAAGGCAAAAGCACACGTTTTAAGTGCTGTGTGGGGTTTAATGATCCTGGTGTGTTGAGTTGAGCAAGCTGTGGGTGTTGGAATTTAACCTTTCTAACACACACCAATTTAAAAAAAAATCTTTCCTGCTTTTTCCCTTCCCTAGATTATTTGCAGGTGTCTTCCCTCGAACGGCAGCCATCAGTCTGGGAGGCTTCATCTTTCTTGGTGCTTATGACCAAACCCGCAGCTTGTTATTGGAACTTGGCAGAGGGAGCCCCTGAATCCAGGACGGCCCCACATGCACTTCTGTCCAGAAAGGGGGCTGCTGTGCGCACGGGCTCCCTTCTGGCGAGCAGCTGCTCACCCATCTGAACCGCCCGCACCGCGCCCCTGTGTGTGAGGATAGGACCTTGAGGATGTCTTGCCTGCTCCAGGCTGGCTGGAACGTCGACTGCCGCCTGTCTGCCACATCGCCAAGAGGACCGTGTCCACAGTGGTACTTGCGACCATTTTCTCAGAACCCATTAATAAATAAGTTTGGTGATGCCGAGTCCAGGCTGCTCAGAGCCGTCATTTGATCTGTATCTGATCTTGAGCTTCCTGCCACCTGCCAGTGGACGCAGCAGAAGGCAGAGAGGGTTCTCCTTCCGAAAGGATGGCTAGACCGGGAACAGGAAGGAGACTCAGGAGAAGTGCACGTGGGTGGGTTTCTCTCTATTGTGAGAGCTTAGGGCTTTGTTTAAAAAGCATGAACTGCAGGTGCATAGCCGGCATTCTATTAGGCAACTGGGCTGCTGCTCTTAATTACCCTCAGATTTCCCCCCAAAACACACAGTTGTATTATTTTACAGAGTTTACAGAGAAGGATTCACCGGCCGGCGTGGTGTGTGTGAAAGCAAGTCGGTAGTTGCAGCTCCAGGGACGAGGTGGGCCCGGTGCGTCCGCGGAGGGTGCTGAGCCCCACCCCTGCTCCTCGTGAGCCCACCCCCCCCCCCCCCCCCCAGGGGCCTGGGCTGGCTGGGGAACAGAGCAGGGTTTCTTCGTTCCTAATCGGAAAGGTTTATTGTCTGCAGTTAGAAGGGGAGGTCACCATTTCAGAGCTTGACTAATAAGCTCCAGGTGTTAGAAAAATTCAGAGAGAAATCTCAGGAATCTAGTGGTGGTGTATCCTCCCTGGGGCTAAAGTATAGGATCTTGCTTCGCATAAAAAAAACTCCCCCCTTTCTGGGGGGAAAAAAAGATAATTAAAGGCAGAATAAGTGCATTTGGTTTGTGAATTTCTGGAATGGAACATACTGCTTACAATGTCACTAGACAAATGACCCCAGCCACCCAATGACCGTTTATAAATGAACCTTTATTAAAGACACTGCAACACCGTTTGTTAGACACTTCAATATTTTACATGTTTTTCAATGTACATTGTACCAAAATTTCTATAAATAAATAACTTTGTACATAAAAGTAATACTTCCTCTTTCACATTGCCTCTCAGAAGCAGCAAATTCACATATTTTGTGGAAGTAACATGAATCAGTTGACTGTTGAGAACACAATTCTAAATGTGCTTACCTTCTGCAACAGTGATGACATCAGACAGTGAAATTTAACAACCCTTTTGTCAATCTCTGCCTTCAGCCTTTTCGCTAAAGGAACTTGCTTTCCGAGATCTTAAGGACCTTGTTTCAATGTCCGTTTTCCTGAACTACACATTGGTACAAGATGGTTAGCTTCGGGTCTCAAAAGTGCAAGTATACCCAGGTGCGGGGCCTAACCTCGTACAGTCCCAGCCCGGGTCGGCTATGGGAGGGAAGGGTGTGGACAGACATGCCCCGGATCCTCAGTAGAGAGAAGCTAGCCCTGAAAAGTAAGGACTCGATCCTTTTCCTCCCCCGCGGTCAACACAGTATTAAGGATATTGGCAGAACTAAAACAGCACTATTGAAAAAATCCACAGGTACCAACACCAGCAGCCTCTATCTTATTAAAAAGCCTCAAATGACAATCGGGTGATACAACCACCACATTTGCTTTTCTCACGGAAGGAAGAAAGGCGGTGCTCAGTTGTTTGGAACAAACGCTTGTGGTGGGTTCACCCCCCTTCTGCTTGGCGAGGAACTTACAAGAAAAAAGTCACATATGGCAAAGGTACGTGACACGGGCGTCTCGGGACTCTGCGGGGGGGTGGGGGGGCGGTGAGCTCCAACAGCCTCCACACAGGAGCAATACTGACGGGAAGTTCATTCCCACGCAGACGACGGCTGTGGTGGGAAAGCAGGCTAGGGGGTCTGTCCTGTGAAGTGCAATACGAATCCAAGGACTTTCCATCCTTCCCACCCACCAGAAACTCCTGGGAGCAAATGTGGTTTTTAGCTTCTAGAAATTCCATCCATGCATTAAGGCACCAGAACCATCCCCCCTCCCCAAATTAAACAGCAACCTGATAGGAAAAATAATATTGTCAAAATTGTATGATTTCTTTGTTAACCATGCACTAAAGATTAAAATAGCCTCTGCAAAAGATATATAATATATATGAAATCTCTGAAAACTCTTATGTACAATGGTATCAAATACTTTTCTGTTTTGTACACAACAGCCTCTGGCAGTTCTGTGCTGTGGCTGCAAGTCCTTTACACTACGGATACTCCACATGGAAGTTTAAAACCTATGTACACATCAGTGACGCTTGAACCCAAGCTTCCTCACAGCCTCTCCTACCTCTTTCCTGTAGAGACGGACACAAGAGCTGAGGTAGACAAAGCCTAGATTTTCGGTGCAAAGAGCAGGGGCACGCCCCGTTTCCCGGGTGGCTGTCCTGTCAGTGGTGGGTACTCGGGACTGGAGTCACATGCTTTGGGGAGGTGTCCATTGTAAAGAAGCAAGTGCTGGCCTTCGCCGGGGATGTCGGGACAGCCCGAGGAGGCTTCTGTGAGCTCAGGACTGCCTGGAGTTAATGTCAAGGGAGGCTGGAGGTCCACGGAGTCTGACTCACACAACCTTGCTAAAGTCCAAGAAGACGCCCCTGTGAGAAAGGAGAGGACGCGTCAGAGCCTCCAGTCTGGCTGCTGCCCTGCCCCCACCCACCTGCCGGGAACTCCCTGGAAGACACTGAACATCTACCTTTTCCATCCAGAGGTGCTGTGGGCTTTTTCTTCAAGGAGGTTGGCATTCTGTCGTGGTTACTGGGGTAGAGGGACCCCCTGCAGTCGGCGTGGGACCCGTCAACAGTCCCACCGGTCACATGGTGCGGAGAATGTTCTCGGTCACTCTGACTGGGCTCCGGGCCGCTTAGCGTACCTGCCTGTGTATGGTCTCTGGGCACAGGCTGAGGACGGGACGCTTGTTCCTTGCAACTGCTGTCCGGGTTAGTGGTGTAGTCACCGCACACAACCGGGCCGCTGTGCTCTGCAGGGCCAAGCCAGAGCCGGATTAGAGCCATGGCCACCGAAGTGTGCGTCCCCACACAGGAGAGGGAGCTGAAGTCCCCTGCTGTGAGGCTGCAGCCCTGCTTAGACCAACGCTGTGGAAGTCCTCTCTCTCCCAATTGTGGTCACAGAAAAAGGCCTGGGCAAACAGGAAGTCATTAACGAAGAGGGGGGGGTCCTCCACGTTTCAACATTTCAGATTAATTTCTGTATCCGAGCGAGTGGCCTTACTGTTATGACATACCATGTAGGGGCAGGAGGCACCTTGATCAGAAATACCCTGGTGAAAAGGTTCTTCGGTTTGGGCCATGCCCTTTACTCAAATTGCTCGTAAATCTGGAAACTTCACGCCCAGGATCACCATACCACAGACTGATGTAAGACACCTCCTACTCCAGAATTATGAGAGCCAGACCACAGCTTCCTGTTTACACACTGAATACCAAATTCTGAGACCATTAATTCCTCTTTCCCTTTCATTTAATGAACAAGTCAACCCAAATTTTAAGAACCAAAGACTATTCCGGATAAAAGCATCTCTTACCCATCTTCTGTGGGCCAGGTCTCCGCTGGGCTTTCTCAGTCACGGCCCAGGGCTCCTTGTTATAACCAGCACAGGGCTTCGGCTGCCTGCACGTCATGCCATGAGTGTCCACCTCTGAAAAGAGGCTTGTGTCTCTTGGATAGACACCTGTAGTAGATTCCCACAGTTAGACATGCCAGACTTACCTTTTCAGAGTAAGCTTTAGGAGAACAATGGGCAAGGCTACCAGAATAGTCCTTCTTACAATGTTCTTGACAGAGGTAGGTGCCTGGGCGGACCAGCAAGAAACATTTTGTATCAGGCTTCCCAGCAGTCAGGCCTTCCAGTGTGCAGAGCCATGGTGGTGAGCAATTCTAAGAATAAACTTGTCCCCAACAAACAGTCTCCCCTGTGGAGGAGGCTCACCTGGCAGACCACTCTAGTAGCAGGGACCGGACTACAGCGCAGGCCTGGGCCCTTTCCCTATGGGTTGGTTTCAGGCCCTGTAATGTCCTGTTGGACCTCTTCTTTCAATCCTACCCTATCCCGACTAGGAGATCCTGAGCCCCTTATAAAGCAACCTCCTGCGGTCTGGACTTTTAAAACCCTGCAAAACTTACACAGGGAAGAGCCAACAAAGATGTAACAGAAGGCTGGAGTCTGCCAGCCTTCTAGGTCAGCTGTGCTCAACCTAAGGCCACACACCTGCCCCGGGAAGGGGCCAGAGGCCACCTCCAGCTCCTGAGGACAAGATCACATCAGGCTTAGAGCCCTTACCGTTGCTCTCGATGTGCCCATTGGCCTGATGGCCACCCTCAGTCCTGATCACAGTTTCCTGTCGGTCAGAAAGAGTCCCCTGAGAAGACAGGTAGCTTGGAACATCTGGTGGCACAATGGTTTCATCTGCGAGGAGACAGGACAGTCAGATACCAGGTGTCCCAATCCTTCGTGGGGATAGGAAATGAAACACTTGTTCAGTATCAAGCCCAGACACAGCACGGCCACCAGCAGCGGCCCAGGCTGTGCAGAGAGACTGTCTGCAGGGCTCAGCTTAGCCTTCCTTTCCACCTGGGTGTAAAAACAGTGTGGCAGTCGGAGGCCTGAGGCCACCAGAGAGAGCAATGATGCCAAGAGAACCACAACACCATCAGGTCACTGCAGCAACAAGCCACCACGTGGCCACCATGCAATGGGGCGCCTCTGGACCCGGCCTCCTCCACAGTGATCCCTGCTTTTCTCCTGCCCTGAAAATGAACTCAGTCAGCAGTGGCTAACCTGTGTTGGTGACACTGTATTCCTCACTCTTCTTCCTGGTCTGGTAGATGATGCACACCCAGACCAGGGACGTCAGGACAATACTGCACACCACAGCGATGGTGAAGATGCCCACGGTGGTCCCATCCTTCCTGCAGCCAGGAGTGGGCAAGATGCTCAGCTGGCTGTGGGCGCGCTCCGTGCCGAGGGCATTGGACATCTCGCAGGTGTACTGGCCCGCGTCCTCCACCACCACGTTCTGAACCACCAGCAGCTGGTTGCCGGGGGTGAAGTGGTGGCGTTCGGTGAGGCTCAGAGGGCGGTTCCCCTTGAACCAGGTGATGCGGGGCGCAGGGCTCCCGGTCGCCTTGCACTGGAGAGCCACCGTTTCTCCCATGGACACCACACGGTCTTCCAGAGGCACCACCAAGGACGGGGTTTCTGCAGGAAGTTAGAGGAAGCCTTCCGGTTATTCTACGGGCCTGCCTTGTCTTCTGGGCAAAGAACAGTCCAGCATGTCAATGAAATGCCCTATGAGATCGTTATCAGACTGGCAAGCTTTTCAGAAGACCTACCACAGTAACTAAATCTTTCCCATTGTGGGGGGTGGCTCCCACAAGGAGGAGGAAGTAACCTTGAGCCACAGGAGCCCCTACTGTCCCCCACCTGCCCTGTGCCACACTTCTGCTTCTAAAGCAGGCCACACCCAGCCAGCGTAAGGGCAGTTCTAGAATGTTCCATATCAAAGCCCTATACTCTAATTCACTGTGGATCTTAAACAAAAAAAAAAACAGAAAAAAAACAAAACCACTTGAAGAGACTATTAGAAAGCAACTCAAAATTTGAAACCAACAGAACCAGCACACCACACGCCGCTCCACACCGTAGGCTCCACCCTCGGAGAACCTGGCCTCTAGGTGTCTGGCACCTGAGGCCCCTCTTCCACACCCACACCCACGTGCCCTTATGTACTCAGCACATGAGCGGTCGGACCTAAGACTGTCAGAGTGGCATTGGCTGAAACGGTGCCGGCCGAGTTCTGGGCGGTGCAGCTGTAAACCCCCATGTCATCTATTTTCACGTCCGTGATGAAAAACACGTCGTCATCGGGCATGACGTGCATGCGTCGTTCGCGAGCAGCGGGGAAATCTGTGCCTCCGTCCTTCTGCCAAGCGATCTGGGGGTTGGGGTGGCCAGTGGCAGCACACTCAAGGCGGGCCATCGTGCCCGTCCGGATGGCGATGTCGTGGGGTATTTTGGTGAATGATGGCAACACTGCAAAATACATAATGATGTACGGTCAGGCTCGCGTCATGGGAAAGCCGGATGCAAAGGCCAGGACGACCCTCTGCCAAGAAGACCTCTTGCTCTGTGTCCGCGTGTCCCCTGGGCACCCTTCGTGCCAATGTCTGCTTAGAACCACTCGTGCCATCTTTGAGCGAAGAGCAGCAGGCTTCCCCAAACTGCCCGCCTCTCCCTTCCGTGGGCCTCCCTTGTTCACCTGAACCTGGCTGTCGTCCCCTCAAATGAAGACTTCATGAAGCGTTGGGCCTTTTGTTTCTCACATGGCTGTCGATGCGGGGACACTCGGTAAATACTAGGGTCTGACACATGACTGCCTTAATTAAGCAACAGAACAGAGCCTGGGAAATACAAATGATCTGCTCCGGCAAGACACGATTACGGCAGGGAGAGTGACATGCCCTCAACCTGGGCAGAGCGACAGGATGGCATGTCCCTCCCAAAGACACCTGTGGTGGAGACTTGGTGTTGGGGCCACAGCACTGCACCCACGCGAGCTCAAGTATACACCAGCTTATTTCAGCCAAGACTTCCCTGACACGGGGAAACATCCAGCCACACGCCAGGCATCGCTGCCGTTCCCATCGAGGTTACTTTGCTGGAAAAGTCTAACAGTTCACTGAGTTTTTGATAAAGAACACTCCTTCAGAATAAGCCAAGACAACAGGCCACAGTGGGGTAAAGAATGTGTTTTCTTGTGGTCTGTGAGGGCTTAAAGACAGTGGTTCCAGCACTTCTTAACTGGAGGCTTAATAATCAGGAAAACCTTACCAGGTTACTTTGGGGGGGCAGTGCTTAACTACTCCAGCTATTAACTTCTCTTCTTCTGCCCTAAACTCACTGCAACAATAGCCCTGAAATAAGCCCTGAAAAAAGCCAGCTTGATAGGCTCTAAAGCTGGTTACAGAGTAAAAACTCCTCATCAAACACCCCAGGGCCATCCTATCGGGCTGGCAGTCCACAGGCTCCGTGGCCATCTACTCAGAGGGCAGGAGCTTCCCCACAATCAGGGCACATGCTTGGAACCTGGACCCCAAACATCATGGGTGGTGGAGAACAAATGTATAAAAATGCAAGGATGGGGCCCCTCGTGTCACTTAGCAACCGGATAAAAAAGTCACCAAAACAGACAATTCACTGAGAATAACTTCAATCTAAAAAACCCGCTCTGGGGCCGACTGGACAGTAATATCCCAGTGAAGCTTAGGCGTCTCCCATCTGCATCCTTCCTGTGTGGATGTGCAGGACTCTTACACCAGGGCAAAGAGCACTTCCTCACCATTCACAATGAGCCTGGCCTTGTGTGAGTAGGTGGAGCCGAAGTGGTTGGTGATGACACACTGATAGCGGCCCTCGTGCCCGAAAGTGACACGGCGCAGGTGCAGGATCGTGGTGTACTCCATCACCACCCCATCCTGCGCTCGCACGTGGGCAAAGTTCTCCATGTCGGCATTGGCCAGGACCTCGTTGTCCTTCTTCCAGGCAAAGGTCATCGGGGAGCTGCTGCTGCTGGCTGCCGAGCACGTGAAGCGGATGTCCTTGCCGACCACGGCCATGGTGGGCTCTGGCTGGGTGATGATCTGTGGCTTCGGTAGGTCGTCTGGGGAGAGAAGAACCAAATTTAAGGCTCCCCAACCCAGGCTCTCAGGACACACGGGGACCTCATCTATCAGTGTCCCTGCACAGCCTCCCACACTGTAAAGGCCAGGAAAATCCATGGATATCTGGCTTTATCCAGTTATAAACCCATGAGCAGTGATCACCTCTGTGACCACATTCCTTGATTACAAGGCATCTGCTATTACTCATGTACCAAAAGCATCGATTTTAGGAGTTTCCACGAGAATACTACACTTGGCTTCACTTGCTTACCTTAACACAAAACACACTAACAGACAGGAACCACCCGCCATGACTGCACAGACCTTACCATAAACTTTACTCCAAAAGAAGTGGGGTAGAAAGCACTTCCAGAATGTGAGAAGAGCTCTTCCAAAACTGCACTTCTTTAATGTAGGGAGAACACTAGCAAAAATGGTTGTAATCAACGGTTTCAGAATTCTGGAAAATAACCAAAGGCTGTAACAGCCCATGAAGGACGGACTCAAGAACACGTCTGAATCTCAGGAAGAAAAGTGAGCTTTGTGGCATTCTAACTTACATCCCATCCCTCTCTCCCCTAGCCTTAAAACCCAGCAGCGTAGTAACCACTGAGAGGGGCAAAGTAGGTTTGGAGCCCCCGCCACCCCCCACCCAAAAGCCCCATCCTCTGGGCTGGCGTGACTGGATCTGATGTAGTTTGCTGAGCAGGGAAGCCCTCCCCCTGGGCTTCCATTTGATGAAAACAGTCAGCAGGCACTGATGAAGCACTTTCAGCTGGAGCCAACAAGACACTGGCCAAAAAACTAAAAAGGAAAAGTAGTGCGTGAAATGTTGACGGTGGGCTTTGAAAAGGTCTACCGTGTTCCTGAGGATGTAGAAGGCCACATGCATGTGCAGCACCGTATGCTTGCCCAAGAAAGGCCTGAGAGGATCCTAATTTCTTACCTGTGATTAGGGATCAGCGCAAACAGGAAGTGGTGGCACACCCCCCAGCACACAACGTGGATGCTGGACAAAGGATGGGAGACTTTCTGAAGTGATCTAAGGACTGTCTGTCCAGGTAGTAGCTAACCAGGGCTACTGGTTACTGGCGACATCCAATAGACTTTAAAGTATTTGTCCAGAAATTGTAGTAACACAGAGAACAACAACAAACCAAGGGGAAGACAGAGAGGGAATCTGATGCCCAGAGTTGCCACATTATTTTAAAGACTCAGTTTCCAACAAAAAACTATAAAACTAGATAAACAGGAAAAAAAGCAGTCAGTGGAAACTGAAGGAAGCCCAGATCTTGGACTTTTAAAGACCTTAAAGTGGCTTTATAAATATGTTCAAAGAATGAAAGGAAATCATGTCGAAAAAAATTAAAGGACAGTATGTGAATATTTCCCACCAAAGAACACCAATAAACAACTAGAAATTATAGAAGTAAACAAAACGTAAATTTTGGAGGTTAGAAGTATAACTGAAATGAAAAATTCACTCGAGGGGCTCAGTAGCCCAAGTGAGCAGGCAGAATTGGTGAAATTGAGACTATCCAATCTAAGAAACAAACAAACAAAAAAAAATGAAGGATAATGAACATTCACAGAGACCAATGGGACAGCATCAAGTGTAACAACGTAAAAATAATGGGAATCTAAGAAGGAGAAGAAACAAAAACAAGCCATTTCTAGAAATAATAGCCCCAGACTTCCCAAACTTGATGAATAGGCATCTACACATCCAAGAAGCTCAAAGAACCCAAATAAACTCAAAGCCCTCACCTGGAAGCTTCACAGTCACACTTTCAGAAGTCAAAGACAAATGAATCTTGAAAGAAACACAAGAGCTGCAACCCATCACACAGAAGGAATCCTCAATGACATGACAGCTGATTTGTCATCAGAAACCATGGAAGGCAGTAGGAAGGCATACTCAAAGTCCTGAAACAGACTGTCAACTAAGAATTCTGTATCCAGCAAAACTAACCTTCCCAAGTAAGGGAGAAATTAAATCACTCTCAGATTTACAGACAAATCACCCAGTGGAAATCACTGCTACCAGACCTGTCCTACAAGAAATACTAAAGGGAATCCTTCAGGCTGAAATGAAAAGACACAACAGTAACTGAAATTCACACAAAGAAATAAAACACACCATTAAAAGTAAACACACAGGTCAGTATGCAAGGACAGTTTAAGTGTATTTTTGTAACATTCTTCTCTTCCTGATTTAGAAGGCAACTACAAAGAGCAATAATCAAAAAGTGTTGATCAGGCTTATGATGCATAAAGATGTAATTTATATGACAACAGTAACACAAAGGAGGAGTTCCACAAATGGAGCTTAGTAGGAGCAAAATTTTGCATACTACTAAAGTTATTAATCTGAACTAGATTGTTTTAAGGTGTTAATTATAATCCCCACAGCAACCATTAAAAAAAAAAAATCAAAAAAGGCAGGGATTACCAAAATGGATAAAAACCCATGGCCCAGCCATTCACTATCTCTAAGAGACACACTTTAGATTCAAAGTCACATATATCAAAAGAGAGCTACAGTGTCCACACTGATGTCAGATAAAATAGACTTTAAGGCAGAAATGGTGGGGCGCCTGGGTGGCTCAGTTGGTTAAGCGGCTGACTTCGGCTCAGGTCATGATCTCATGGTTTGTGGGTTCGAGCCCCGCATTGGGCTCTGTGCTGAAGGCTCAGAGCCTGGAGCCTGTTTCAGATTCTGTGTCTCCCTCTTTCTCTGACCCTCCCCTGTTCATGCACTCTCTCTCTATATCTCAAAAATAAATAAATGTTAAAAAAAAAAAAAAGACAGAAATGGTTACTAGAGACAAAGTAACTCTTTATAATGTAAAACAATCCATCAGGAAGACATAAACATCATAAACATATATGAACCTAATAGAGCTCCACAAAACATGAAGCAAAAACTAACTAAAGAAATGGACAGTGCAACAGTAAGTTTGTAGAATTCAATACTCCGTGTTCAATGATGGTTAGAACCACTAGGCAGATGATCAACAAAAAAGTACAAGACTTGAATAACACTATAAGCCAAATAGACCTAGCAGACATCTATAGAACTTTCCACCCCCACAAGAGCAGAATAAACATTAATTTCAAGCACACATGGAATACCCTCGAACAGAGACCATATGTTATACTGAAAAACAAATTTCAGTACATGAAAAAAGAGAAATCCTACCCAGTGTCTTCAATGACAATGGAATGAAGCCAGAAATCACTATCAAAAGCAACACTGGGAGTCTAATTTGTGGAAATCAAACTGAACTTCTGTAAGTCAAAGAAGAACTCATAAAGGAAATTAGAAAATACTTTGAGTGAAAATGAAAACCCAGATACAAAAACTTAAATGTTGCAGCTAAAACAGTGCTTATAGGAGAGATGGAGAGCTGTCTACATTAAGGAAGACCTCAAATTTATAACCTCACCTTCCTCATTAAGAAATCGGAAAAACCAGCTATCCCCAAACCAAGCAGAAGACATAATTATAGAGCAGAAATAAGAGAAAAAAGGGGGGAAAAATCAATGAAAAGTTAGTTCTTTGAAAATACTAATGAAATTGAAAAATCTGTAGACTAGCAGAATGGGGAGGTGGGGAGAAGACACCAAATACTAAAATTAGGAACAAAACTTACCAACTAACCTCACAGCAGCAAACGGGAATACTATGAATAATTTGTATGGCAACAAATCAGATAAGCTGATAGATGCACAAATTCTAAAAAAGAAAAATTACCAACACTGACTCAAGAAGAAACAAAATCTGAATAGATTTTAACAAGTAAAGAAATAGGATAATTTTGGTGTGCCTGGCTGGCTCAGTTGGTTAAGCATCTGACTTCGGCTCAGGTCATGATCTCATGGTTTGTGATTTCAAGTCCTGCATCGGGCTCTATGCTGACAGCTCAGAGCCTGAAGCCTGCTTCGGATTCTGTGTCTCCCTCTCTCTCTTTCTCTGCCCTCCCCTGTTTGCACTCTGTCTTTCTCTCTCTCAAAAATAAACATTAAAAAAATTTTTTTTTAATAATTTAAGAACTCACCAACAAAAAGCCAGACCTAAATGGCTACACTGATAAATTTTCCCCAAATTTAAAGAATAATTATCACTAATCCTTCAGAAATTCTTGCAAAAAACAGATGAGTGAACATCTCACTCCACTGTAGGAGTCAAATATTCCCAGACAACAAAATCATACAGAAACCCAACTATACACCTGAGTACAGATGCAAAAATCTTCTACCGATATACCGGCAAAGCAAATCCCACAACATATAAAAAGGATTATACACCACGACCAAGTTGGATTTATCCCAGGAATGCAAGGTTGGTTTAACACCCAAAAATCAATGTACCATATCAATAAAGGTTGGGGGTGGGGCACATTATCCTTCAACAGATGCAGAAAAAAGCATTTGACAAAATTCAACACCCTATCATGAAAGAAATACACAACAATATAGAAATAGAAGGGGAATTCCTCAACCAGGTAAAGGTCATCTACGGAAAACTTACAACTAATACCATATCCAACAGTGAAGGACTGAATGCTTTTGCCCAAATCAGGAAAGACAAGGAAGTCTGCTCTCACCACTTCTAGCCAACACTGGAGGCTCTACCCAGGGCAATTAGGCAAGAAAAAAAGAAAAAACAAAGAAGCTATCGAGACTGGAAAGGACGAAGTACAAGTGTCTTTTTGCAAATAACATAACGATCAAATATAAAAATCCTAAGCAATTCAGTGAAAAACTACTAGAATTAATAAATGATTTCAATACAGATGCAGGATGCACTCATTCACTATTACTGGGAGTAGGCAGTGGTGCGGCTACTGATGAACAGTCTGGCAAGTGTTCAAAAAGTTGAACAGTTCCTGTATGACCCACAATGACATTCCTAAGAACCACGCAAGAGAATTCACAAAAACTTATATATGAACGTTCACAGAATTATTTAGAATTACCAAGAAATCCAAACAACCGAAATGTCCATCACCTAATGAACAGCTAAATACATGTATATCCATACAATGTCATATTGCATTCAAAAAAAATAATGAATACATAGTAACACATTCTGCTAGGTTAAAAAAAACCTAGTCACAAAAGATCATTATTATAGGATTCCATTTATATGAAGGTCCTCAGGGACAGGGGACAGTGCAGTGACTGCTGTGAACATGGAGTTTGTTTTACGGATGATGAAAATGTTCTAAAATTAGGTGGTAGTGAGGGTCACGCGGCTTCCCAATACTCTAAACACTACTGACTGGTACACCTGAAACAGGTGAATGTTACAGTGAGTAAATGATACAACCATCATCACAGTCCCTGAAAGTAATTTAATCTCCCTAAAAAGAAACTCCCTACCTTTCAGCTATCATCCTTTCTCCCTCCACTCTAAGCCACCAGTAATCACTCACCCTCCTACCACCCCTGGAGTGGCCCTTAGATGGGATCCTATTCTGGACATTACGTTCATTCATTCTGGACATGTCATGTGGATGGAATCATACAGTGTATGGTCCTGTGTGACGAGCTTCTTTCACTTCAAGGGTTTCAAGGTTCATCTGTTGTGTGAACAATTGCTGTTTATGGCCTGATGATATCCCACCGCCTGGCTCTACCATGTTTTATTTATCCACTCCGGGAGTGGTGAGCATTCGGGTTATTTCCACCCTTTGGCTGTTACGAGTAATGCTGCCACGAGCATTTGTGGCCAGGTTTTATGTAGATACGTTTTTGTTTCTCCCCAGCATATAGCTGGGAGTGGGTCACGGCTTAACTATGTTTAATTGTCTGAGAAATTTCCCAACTTTTCCAAAGGGGCTGCACCACAGTGCACTCCCACCAGCACTGTAGGAGGGTTCAGACTCCACCCTCCTCACCGACACTTGTTGTTGCCTGACTTTTTGATTCTAGCGATGCTGGTGGGTGCGAAGCAGTTTTATTTTCCTTTTATAAAGAAGGAGGTGGAGACTCCCACACAGCTTAAAACTTTGACCTCCTGCCAAGTGTTTTCCTGATGCCCATTCTTACGTGACGACGGGTCTGGCATCCTGCGCTGCCATGTGGAGGTGGGCTAACGAGTGTGAACTGCCGCGGGACGTGCCCGGGCCACCGGCCGGAGGGTGGGCACAGCAGGTCACAAGTCCGACCCTGGCTCATCCAAAGGGCAAGATTATGCCCTGTGACAGGAAAAGGGAGGAAGGCGCAGGAAGCCCCACTTCAGGGCAGCTAGTTAACAAATTAACGGTCAGGGCCCAGGTACGTGGTGAACAATGGACGGTACAGTCATCGTGTGCTACTTGGAACATGAGGCGTGCACAGCCCGACATTGTGCACGGACGTTCCCAGAAGACTGACCACTAAGAAAACACCGGATGCTTTTAAGGCTTCTCGCTGGACTGGATCAGCACAAAGGAGGGCGAGCCTGCTGGCAGAAGTGGTGGTGGGTGGATGATGGAAGGGGGCACTCGTATCCTGAGGTCAGCAGGCACACTGGCTCTTGCCGTGCCCAAGGAGGAGGCTGGAGAAGTGGACCGCAGGGTTGCCCGCACTGCTCCGGGTGCTCCTGGTTAGGATCATCAGTCACACCCAGGGCACAGGGGCAGACCGGGGAGGACAGAAGGCACTCACAGGAGTTCCGGTCACGCCCGGGAAGCCCACCCTCGCTCCCGCTTAAAGCAGAGACCGGAAACCCTCCAAGATTCGTCTCGTTCTCTGACCACGTCTTACTGACCACGAGGCTGTGCATTACCACGTGATGCGGCGTATGGCACGCAGCGTGTGCACAGCCTCCAGTCATTCAGCATCTTCTGTACCGTTTGCAACCAAACCCGGATCGTGACCACCCCCGGTCCAAAAGATGGCAAGACCCACGCTCCTACAGTCAGAAGGAGAAGAGAGCTCATAGCTACAAGTGCAGATTTCAGTGGTTTGGAGAAACAGCGAGAGTGCAAGTCAACAACAAGGAATTATTTTTACGACACTAACTGTTCTCCTGAGACTTGTTCTTCCTGTATTTAGCCTTCCATTCTTGGGGCTGGAAAGAAACACACATCAAAACCCCAGCCTCAGACACGGAGTAAATTCACAGCTAAACCCAGGCACCAGAGCCGTCTTGAGATGACACAACTTTCGTCCAGTAACCGGTTCTCCTGATTTGTAACCGAACCAAGTCCTGCTCCCTTTTCATTAAATGCATGCACTCCAGGAACCACATAATGAGGTGACTCCACAGTAAGTACTACGTGTGGTTTCAGCGGGAAAGAACTTGCATCCAGCAGCTGATTGGGAACCATGGATTGGGGTTGACTCTGATCACAGAAATCACTCCCATAATGAGGACTTCCTCCTGGCCTCCCTGCCCTTCAGGAAAGAAAATCACAGGGACGGCCTTACCACACACGAAACTCTCCGGCGGCACAGAGAAAATGCTCTGGCCCTTCAGGGATTCCGGGTGGGCACAGGTGGCTGTCACGAAGGGCTGCAGCATCCGGCCCAGTAACCACGGGGGCAGCCACTTCAGCTGGCAGTCGCACAGGAAGCTATCACTGCTGATGTGGCTGAAAGGGAAACAAAAGGGACATGTGAGGTGTGACCTCCAGAAAGGGATATTCCCTCGGCACACAGACTCCTCCCCCAGTCACCGCTGATCAGCTTCTGTCCTCAACACCAGCCATCTGGGAAGGGAAGAGATTTTTCTCCGTTCCTCTTCAGTGACCCAGAGCAGCACATATAATCTACCTGGAGATTTTGATAAAACGATGCTCTGGCTCAGAAGGCTCGGGGTGGAACCCAAGATGCGGCACTTCTGACAAGCTCCCGGGTGATGTGGACACCGCCAGCCTCAACAACACCGCGGCATACCAACAGCCCGCAGTTCACACGCGTCCCAAGACGGGCACACACTGCTCCTGTGTGACCCTGGGGGCACCATCTGACCTCCTCCAGACTCTGTCCACCCGACAGAGCTGAGGAGCACTGTGCCCTCTCTGCTTTTTCCCACCCTCCTGATAAGCTACGTGGAGCTTCCAGATTCATCTGCAACTTAGCTCTCGACTCTCAGGTCCTGAGGAGGGCTGTTTTTCTATATTGCTGTTAGTTTTCATTTGGCCAAGCTCCATGTTTTCTTACGTCCAGACGTAAGCCCTGCCAACGCGGCCCCCTCTTGTTTGTGGATCTCTACAGCACCGCTCAGGAGGCCGGCAGAATTCGGCTCCGCTCCCTAAATAGTGATTGTTAGTTAATTGCCACTGCCCAGGGAGCATGAGAATGCAACACTGGTTTTGTGAGGCTCCAACCAAAACAGAGAATATTTTCTTTTTCATTTCTCAGCAACTGAGGATCAGCTTTTTAAACAGAAATCGGAATCACCATCTCAGCGGACATTCCTTCCTGAGGAGTCACTCGAAGATAAGTCAGCCGAAGAGTCTAGCTGCCCTGTTCCTGGAAGAGACCTCAAGGCTGTGAGCTAACAGAGGTCAGCGCATGGCAAGGGTGAAGGCACGCGGTCTCCCCTGTCATGAATCGCCTCTGGTACCAGGTACAAAGTACACGGTGACAGAAGGGGTGCTGAAGTGTACTTAGATATTCCACAAGGGGCACCCGGGTGGCTCAGCTGGTTAAGTGTTTGACTTCGGCTCAGGTCATGATCTCACGGTCCGTGAGTTCGAGCCCCGCGTCGGGCTCTGTGCTGACAGCTCAGAGCCTGGCGCCTGCTTTGTGTGTCTCCCTCTCTCTCTGCCTCTCCCCCACTCACACTCTGTCTCTCTCTCAAAAAAAATATGTTAAAAAAAAAAATTCCACAAGCATCGCATGGGCCAGGATCCTAGCAATAGCCTCCACCACCCACCATTTCCCTCAGAAATCTGCTCTTCCTTCCTGTTCCTCATGGTACCAGATTAGCCATCTTATTAAAATTACTTTTGGAAAGTGCTTTTTCAAAGACTGAAATAATTGATCTCAAAGCCATGCTAACTGGGATGGCTGCCCACATCAGACCTTTAAAGGTCAGCATTTGGCTTCTACTCTTAATTTTTTAATTTTTGTATCTTTATTTGACAGGCAGGTAGCTGTGTGCTTAGAGCTATCTCCCGGAGGGCTGTCGCACTGTGGAGTTACCCAGGTAGCATGAGGGCTCCCCCAGCTGAGCCTGAGAAGTGGCTGGTTCCGGCCCAGTACCTGGGGGGCTACTCCGGGCCGGCTGTGGTGGCGGGTGGACCGGCTGCCGCCAGGTACCACACTGAGCTTCAGTGACAGAGGGTCAGGAATTCTGTCAGAAGCGCTGTCACGAGCTCCCCATCAAGCCAGTGTTGGGCGCGACTGCCCCTTTCTGGGTTGGCAGCAGGAAAGCCTGAGTAGAGTCTAGAGGAAGACGCTGGGCTATCGCTGTGAGGCTTCAGGCACTTGTGTGGAGGACGGTCACAGGAGCAAACTAAGGAAGGCCAAGTTGACAGTGATCCTTGGTCACAGATGTGTGTGGGAAGGGTTACTCCTTACACCACGAGTGTAGGCCTGGCTGGCTTAAAGATGTCCTACCTCTCCCACAACGAGGCCCACCTCACACAGAGGAGACCAGACCTCAGAAAGAGGTACTAAGGGTGTAGAGATAGCTTTCCTGAAGAGCGAGTCAGGACCAACAAGACAGACAGTGAGGACACTGACCCCCTGACCTCCCTCCACATGCACACATGGCTTTAAGGACAAAGGTGAGGTTGAAAGGCTGGACCAGGAATTGCCAGCAACCCCAGGGCTTTGCAGATTTCCGCTACTCTTCCTGCTGGTCAGCTGCTCAGGGGTGCGGCTCTTCACGACTCCCGCCTCCGGCCATCCCATCACTCTGCTGGCTTACGGTGCATTTTCATGATTCCAACTCAAAGTGTGTTTCTAATCATTGCTTGTGGAAATTTACCCAGAGCATGACTAAGTGCACGGTACAACCTGCCTTGATCAGATGGAGGAAGAAAATGACCAAGTGGAATTAACTGTTTCTCCCAGCAGAGGACTGGGCCCAGGGCCAGCCACGGCTGGGTACGTGCAGCGAGCGACAGGAAACCCAGGCAGGGGCCAAGGCTGAGCCTCCAGAACCACGCCGAAGCAGATTTTGGGGGTGGGGTGTGGTGGAGGGTCCCAGTTGCCTAGAAGGGTCCAGTCCTTCCCAACTAGGAAAGTATCTCAGAAAACCTCAATTGTTAAGGAGAAGCAGTCTTCTCTCCCTGTCCTTCCCTCTTTCTCTTATACCCTCTTCCCATCTAATGAGATTACTTCCAACATTATATTTGAAAAGTTGCAAACACAGAGAAGTTGAAAGAAATGCACAGTGAACACTTAACCATTCTAAGACCGTGACCCTTTGGAGAAGGCAGTTCTACTCAACAGGCCTGAATCTCACAGCTAAGTAAATGCTATGAGGCAGGTGCCTAAAACACCTCCTCTCTCCTCACCCAGAGGAATATCACCAGGGGCCTGCTTTGCTTTTAAAGTACGGGGACTGCGCCTCCCTCCTCCCCCATTTCTCCCGAAGGCCACCAAGAGTGGCCTCAGGAATGAGGATGAGTTCAGGATGCACAGATGGCCGTCCTCTGTCGTCTGCCCTCCGTCAGCACTTCTGAGAACCAAAAGCCACATCTTTCAGGGACTAGTATTACAGCTAGACTTTGCGGCAGCAGAGTCAGATTAATGCACAGGAAGAAGAAAGGATGCTTGGGTGTTGCTACCTGCACACCCTGACGAGCTCCTCTGCCAGAGACTACGGCACAGGCGAGCTCTTCCAACCCTGTGACCCGGGGGCCCATGGTGAACATCTATGGTGGCGGCACCACCACCTATGAACCGCTGTGGGGGCCTCGGAACAGATGTGGGCTGGGCGCCACATCACTAGTCCACAGTCGCCTGTGACCACCCCCCAGATATCTCTGCCTCACTCACAGGCCACCAAACGCGGCAAAGAAGCCACTCTCAGTATAGGTCCTCCATTTTAGGCAGACCTAAATGATGAAAACTTGCCCTGACATCATTTCACGAATGATCGCCCATTTTCTAGAAGAAAGTTCATGTCCCCTAGAGCAGCAGTCAGCTACAGCCTGCCCTGCCAGCCTGTTTTTTAATAATAACTGACTGGCACACAGCCGTGCCCGCCTATTTGTGTATTATTTATGGCCCCTTTCTGCTACAACAAGGGAGTCTACTTGCTAATGACACAAACCCTATGGCCCACAAAGTTGAAAATTCCACGTGACCCTTTAAGAAAAGGTGTGCTGAGGGGCGCCTGGGTGGCTCAGTCGGTTGAGCGGCCGACTTCGGCTCAGGTCATGATCTCGCGGTCTGTGAGTTCAAGCCCTGCGTCGGGCTCTAAGGGAGCCCGTTTCAGATTCTGTGTCTCCCTCTCTCCGACCCTCCCCCGTTCATGCTCTGTCTCTCTCTGTCTCAAAAATAAATAAACGTAAAAAAAAAAAAAAAAAAAAGAAGAAAAGGTGTGCTGACCCTGATCCAGAATAAGCCCCCAGGGGGCATTGCTTTTCTAAAAGACAGCTTACACGCAAATGCTAACAGCCCCATCTGTTACATATATTGACACATCACGGAATCAAGGCGTTTCTGACTCCAAATTCTCTAGTCATATTAACCAGGACCCTGGAACCCCGGGTACTTACAGCTCTTTGAGATTCTTCATTTTCACAAAGGCATCAGACTGGACAGATCTGACTGCATTCTCTCCGAGGTTCCTGCAAAAGAACACTTTTCAAGTACGGACACACACTCCAGGCGCCCTTCAGGTCAGCCACCTGTTTGAGCCAAGAGGCTCAGGTGGCTTCCGGGAGAGTCCCGGTTTCCCCAGTGTGCTGGCCGTGGCTGTCACCTCCCAGACACTGGCACAAGCACACGGAACAACCTTGGAACCAAGCCAGCCTGAAGGGCAGCATCAAAGCTAACGGTGAGGCCGGCTCAGCAAGTCAACAAGCAAAGCTTTACCAACAGAATTCAGGTCCACCTTGATTCCAAGGCCAAAGAGACTAAGAATCAAGCACTAGAGGCATCTGCCCTCGATGGTGACCACACAAATGTGTCCAGGCTGGCATCACCCTCGTCCTCCCGGGCTCTCAGGGACAACCAGGCCAGAACACCTCCCGGCTGAGCCCAGCATGTGCTCGGCCCCGTGAAGCTGCTTCAGTGGGGCCGGGAGCCTGCGCCAGGAACGCGCGCTCTCACAGAGGTGAAAGGGAGGCCGGGGCCTGTGGAGGAGCCAGCGCCAGGGGGAGACAGGGTTGGAGGACGGGGGAGGGTATCCAGTCGGCAGCCGCATTCGTTAGGAACTCACCGACCGGCCATGTGTTCTCTAACTGTTCCTGGCATAGGCAAAATAAAGGCCAAAGTTGAAGCTGACTTATAACGAGAAGGAAGCAGCTGGCGTTTCCAAATAGGCTGTTTCTCAGTTTACAAAGATGTGATTAAATTGCTAGCAGACTTCCCCGGCAGCCGCATTTGGCAGGCCTGTGGGTCAGGGAAGGTCTGGTGAGATACTCACAGGTGCTCCAGGCCCTCCAGCCCCGAGAAGGCTCTCTTAGCCACGGACTTGATCTTGTTTCCAAACAGAGTTCTGCCATTTCCAAACATCATCCAGAGACAGGGAAAAAACAAAACGCAGAACCGGAGGGGAAGAGACAAGGGAGGAACGGGAGAAAGAGAACACACAGTTAGGCCAGTGCCATGTGATAAGTCTGTCCAGTGAGGGGCAGGTGGAAATCTGACCTACGTGGAGACTACGGGTCCGAAGTATGCAGGCCTTGCCCTTCTGGAATGAAATGCTTTGATCTTTATTAGAATTTAACGTGATGACAAGATGTACCATCTCGCCTGAAAAGGCTCCTTGCGATGTTGGTGGAAATGCCCTCGTCCAGCCCGGGCTGTGCCCAAGGACCCAAGGGCCTCGTGAGAAGGAGGGGACTCATCACTGTTCCCGTGAGAGGAAGCAGAGTCATGGAACGTAATGAAAACTGGAACTAAAATCCACCACCCTCTTCTGAAAAGTGGGGGCGAAGGTTCCCCGAGCAGGCAAGAAAAGGGCAGGAGAACCGGCCTCCATCAAGACGGCTCCCCAGCGATTTGCACCGAGACATACCCGAGCAGCCAGGACGTGGCCACAGGGAGCTGCGCCCCCGCCTCTGGGAAGGCCACTCGGGGTGTGCAGGGCATGCCCTGGCACCGTGGCCTCTTAGCAAGAGCCCAGATCTTAAATGATGCCCATGGGCCCAAGGTTCTTTAAATCGCAGACGCGTCCTAAAAGGTCAACCTCTGAGGTTATCTAATACCCAGACCCGTGGACTGCCTACCCACGAGAAAGGGCTCCTACTTCCCGGCACTTGCAATCACAACTTCAACGGCAACTCCTAAGAGTTTTCTCAGAAACCAAGTTCTCGTCCCCTGCAGTGCACATGGAAGAAATGAAGGCTTCCTCCAATGGGCTACATAAGCCAACGGACTCTCCGGTCTGTTTGGGGAATGAGGGGTGGGGGGGGGCACCCAGAATGCCTGGACACTGGGAACGAAAAGCATCCGTGTTCCAGTTTTCCCTCCCCTGACAACAGCCGACTGGGGCACTCCCTCTACCTCCTGTAGGTGCGGGCAGCCGTGAGCCCCTGAGAGTCATGCTGACAGACACATGGGCTCTTCAACGTGACGTCCAGCCAGACTACCTGAAGGGCTAGTCAGGAACAGGGAATGCTGGGAGCCAACTCCTGCCACATCTCACCCGCTCTGGGAGGGGGCTTCGTAAGGGGGCACTGCAGACAGCCTCCGGAGAGCAGCGGTCTCGTCTGGGATCCCACCGAGACCCGTGTTAAGATGGGGGTCCCCCGAGGGAAAACATCAAGTACCAGCCCCTCCCTGAAAAGGGCCAGGAAAGCAACAGGAGCCTCGAAGAAAACCAAAGATGGCAGGGCGGCCCAGGCGGCACCTGCCACATGGGCCCTGAGCGTCACCCCCCCCCCCCCCCCCCCCCCCCCCCCCCCGCCGCCTAGGGCTCCCGGCACCACCTACACAAACCCTAGGATGCCGCCTTCGGGAAGATGGGGTCACATGCAGACAGACCAGGCCAGTGCCACAAACCACAGGAGGTGCTCCCCGCCCCGCCCCACTGCCCTCCAGGGCACCGAAAGCCTGAGGGGAACCTGCAGGGCAACCACAGGAGCTTCCGGGTACCCCCACTTGATCACGAACAGACCCCTCCTCTCGGAGCCTGCAGCCTTCGGACAAAGCCAGCACCTCCTGCTTCAGGGAAGATGGAGCGGTCCGAGACCACTCTGACTGCTCCTTCTCTCGGAGGCAATCTGCGTATTTCCACTCTCTCTCCATCTGAAGCTTTGATGCTCAAACACACAGCCCAAACACGCAGGAGTCCGGTGGCCACACTAACTCTCTTCCCCTAACCACACAACTAGCCCAGCAAACACCAGCACACGGCACCAAACCCAAGTATCTCCAAGAGCCTGCCAACTTCTCACTTACTCAGATCCCCCAGGCCGGGTCACTGTGCTCCAGGCCCTAGTAAAATGTATTAACTGTTTAGTGAAATCTCCCGTAAACCAGATCCAGGAAAAAGCTGTGCTTTATTTCATGCATTACGTATTAGTCACACTGACCTCTTTTACCATGAGGGCAGACTGTTATTTCTAATGGTAACAATAGCAATAAAACAAATTCTCAATTACGTAGGGGCTAATCATCCTGCTGCGGGATTAAAATAGCCCCTTACTTTCTCTAGGCGGACGTCTGGGGGCTGGGGCTCAAGCTGGCAGATTGGGACAGTTTCAATAAAGGCAGCCGTGCGCAGAACGGATGGCCGGGGCCGCGGGCCGGGTGGTGCTCATTCTGTCCACATGACAGCGGGCAGCTGAGACTCCACTGTCCCAGATCAGGGGCTCCCAGAGAAGGGACCGCAGGGCCAATGTGCCTCACACCCCTGCCTCGGTGCGGACAGCGACCCTGGAAGTCAGCCGTCCACTCCTTCGTGCATCTCTAGTGCTCCCCGAGGCCTTTCGGCTGTTGCTAACACCGCCCGGCAGACGCCAGGGGAGGCCTGGTCCAGCTCACGTTCACCTCCCCACCTCTCCTCCACCTGAGACACTGAACAGCACTCCGTGGGCCCTGCCATCGCTCTGTGAACACACGGGCGAGGGCGATCTTGCCCAGGCTGGGGGGCAGCACCCACCCAGGCCCACCTCACGGGAGAGGCTTGGCCTCGTGGTCCAATTCCAGGTTTCCTCTAACGCTTCCCTTCGCGCACGTCATGGCCCCGCCCCAAAGAAAGCCATGGAAAGAGCTGGAACCACGGGGCAGGCACTCACACCACCCCTCGTACACACGTGGTTAACTGCTCCTCTCTCTGCTAATCTGTGTTCCAGAAAGCCTCCCTCCCTGCTCACATACTAGGACGCTGTGCACACTTCCCAGGAGGTCTTCCACCAACATGATGACGGGGGCCCCAGTGGGAGGTGAGCATACTGACCACAGGTGAGCAGGTAACACTTGCCCCGCCAGGAAGCTCCGGTTTGAAGAGCTGTCCACATGGCTGTGTTCAGCAGGCAGAAACATTACGGGCAGGACAGCACCCACCACGGCTGCCCAGGGAAGCCTTTTAAGGCTCTGCTGCTCCCGTGTTCCCTTCTCGGCAAAGATTTTAATTTAGGTCTGGCCTCTTCTGTGACAGGAAGGTCCTCGAATGGGTGAAGGCAAGACTTTCTCCCTTCCCATTCTCAGGTCCCTGAAGACCTGACCCCAAGGGCTTCAAAGGCAGGCCCCACCAGGTCCAAGGGACCCAGCACCGACCGCAGCCCCACTGCATGAATGAGTCCACGTGACGTGACCGCTCTCGAGAGGCAGCCCTTCCCTGTGCTCACACGCTGCCCTTTTCTAATGGATCCCGACACGCTTGCCACCGGGCCGCTCAGTAAGGCAGGGAGGTGTGAGGGCCACATTTCCCAGCCACGGCCACGCAAGAGAGCGTCCGGGCAGCGCGTGGGGGAGGTGGGCGGGGCGGAGAGCCAGGCAGCACCGGTCCCTTCCTTCGCTCTGCCGTTAACCGTTTACTCAACACCTTCCATACACCCGGGGGAGTGGTTTTTACCCAAGCTACGCGCCACGATCACGGCGAAGCGTGGGCTTTCCTTTCCTCCCCTTTCCCGGGGAGGACACCGCACACCACAGGCAGGTGGGGGAGCATCGCGACCCCCACGGGTGCCTGCTTCGTCACCCAGGGGTGCTGGTACTACTTCACCTCTGTCCGCTGCCCCTTCCCCAGCCCCACGGGCTGAACGGGAACCCAAGTCACGGGCATCACAGCATTTGTTTTTCCATCCGGGAAGAGGATTCTTTTTTTCTCTTGCGACGTAACCACAGTACCGTTCCGCCTAAACAACTATATATATTTAATCAGATTAAGCAACTACTATCCCCATTCCCCCAACTGTGTGTGTCCTCCCTTTATTTTGGAAACTGCCAGCCCCACAATTTTGGTCAGTGAGGCTGGGGGGGGGGGGGGGG